TTTTTAAAAAGTTTACCATTGATAGCACATTAATGTAAAAAAATTCATACAAAAAGCATTATCAAATATAAAATAGTGTTTAACTTTCTTAAAGCCCAAGGGTGGCCAGATAAGTCACAAGGTCCCTCATCCCCAAGGCCACAACACGCAGGGGCAGTGAAGGCCACATAAAAGCCAAGACCTTAACAGGAGGCAGGGCCGCAACATCCCCTAGGCAACGCTAAGCAGCAATGGAGCAGAAGACGCCACCATGGGGCCTCAAGCCCTACAATATGCAACGAAAATTATAGACTTAATTTATCTTCCACTTTCCCTTCCCTCAAAACTAAAAATCTTTTAACACAAGTACCAACCCTAAAATTTCCAGTACACCAGCACCAGCCTAAAAACCACATCCTTATCAAAAAATAAAAAACTCAAGCCAGCCTGGGAGGGACCCTATTTTATGCTGTTAACCACTAAGACTGCCGTCCGCACAGCCAAGAAAAAAATGGACCCACTCTACTCAAATCAAGAAAACATCTTAGGTTACTATACTAAAATCAAGCCCTACTAAGTTAAAATTTTAAAAGGCTTAATTTTCGTATACCTTCTCTATTTCTTTCCTTTCCTTATTCTGTTACTAGCTCCCTTGTTGTTAATGTAACTACATCTAACTCACCTCAAACCATTGCTTTTAATGCTTGCTCTATCACACCTTGTAAAAATATAAAAAATCAATGACAGCTAGCCTTTTCACACAAATATTTATATCCTGGCCCTCTAATTAACACAATTACCCCTAACACTTGTCGTTATAATCACCTGCGAATTTTCTGCTCCTACTGAGAGGTGAAGCCAACTGGACTTCCTGGGTTGAGTGGGGACTTGGAGAACTTTTCTGTCTTACAAGAGGATTGTAAAATGCACCAATCAGCACTCTGTAACTAGGATTATAAAATGCACCAATCAGCAGAATCCTAAAAGTAGTCAATCACAGGGAGTACTGAAAAAAGGACATTCTGATAGGACAGAAATGGAACATGGGAGGGGCCAATAAGGGAATAAAAGCTTGCCACCCCAGCCAGCAGTAGCAGCAACCTGCTCAGGTCCCCTTCCACGCCGTGGAACCTTTGTTCTTTCTCTCTTCACAATAAATCTTGCTGCTGCTCACCCTTTGAGTCCGTGCCTCCCTTAAGAGGTGTAACACTCACCGTGAAGCTCCGCAACTTCATTCTTGAAGTCAGCGAGACCACAAACCCACTGGAAGGAACCAACTCCGGACACACTACAGCCTAACAATCTTGCAATAAATGGAACTACGTCCTTTAAACTACTCAAGAGCAAAGTTAAACTTCCACCAAAAAAAAAAAAAAAAAAATTTATATAAATCTAAAACCTTTCATCTATTTCATTAAAAAATCTATCCCTTCTGTCAACCTTTATCAATATAACCCTGTTCTTCTATCACCACCTCCACCTTAACTAACTCTAAATCTGCCCTTAATCACTTCTGTAATATAGAAATTGACATAAATTTTTTAAAACCCTAAATATTTTTAAAATACACATTATTCCCCCATCTTCCCCTTCTTCAGCAGCCTAAGTTCTAAATCCCACACCAGTTACTCCTACATCTAATAAAAGTAGAATGTCTATTATAAAAATAAAAAATCGAAGACAGACCTTAGCCATCAAAACAATGTATCAAAATACAAACACCTAGCTAAAATAAATATTCTGTTCACACTTTAAAAACAATTATTACGCTATTACACTTGTACACATGGTACTCCAGAGGCCCAAATTATCCCCTTTCCACTTAAATGGTCTCCTCGTCAACCAAATATAAACTATGTAGTAGCTCTTCTTCAAAATCCCACTGCTTAAAATAATCCATCACGCCAAGCTCTCTCTGCTATTTCCTAAAATTCAACACCCTGCGCGTCAGCCCCTGAGGGCAATCCAGCTTCCACCTTTTCTAAATGCCAAATTTAGTTTGTGCCTCTCACAGCAAGAAAAAAATTTAATATTCCTTAAAAGTATTTTAAAAATAATGCAAGAAGCTCAAGCTTTTCCAAAAGCTTGCCCATCAATCCATGCTTAGCCATCCCCAAACAAATATATGGTAGTATTGTAAAGGACCCTTACTAAACACTGTGCCAAATAATTGAAACAGTACTAATCCAATTAGTGGTCCTTCACTGTAGCATTTCATCAATCTAAAAAACTAAAAACAAAACACCACAGGCCAAAAAAATTTCCTTGTAAGTCCTTTAATCCTCAAGTTTACATAAATGCTATTAAAATCCTGTAAAAAATTTCCAAATAAACTTAAAACACAAAATCAAATACCTGCAAAATTTAAATCCACGTTATTCTGGTAAGTAAGTATGAATTAAAAAAATGTAAACTAAACTACATCTGTTACAATCAGCAACAATTCATAAATTACACTGAAAACGCCATCAAAAAAATAGCTAAGCAATTAGGACCTACCAGACAAATTGCCTAAAACAAGCTTTAAATATAATATTAGCAAAAAAATTATGTCATAATTAAAACTCAATATTGTACCTTTATTTCTAATACTGCCCCTAACAAAACTATAACAAAAGCATTACAAAAATTAACAGCACTATCCAATAAACGTGCCAAAAATTCTAAAATAAATAACCCTTTTTCTAAAATAATAAAACATCTATTCAATAAGTAAAAAAAAAATTTGGCCAGGCATGGTGGTTCACGCCTGTAATCCCAGCACTTTAGGAGGCCGAGGCGGGCGGATCACGAGGTCAGGAGATTGAAACCATCCTGGCTAACACGGCGAAACCCCATCTTACTAAAATACCAAAAAGAAATTAGCCAAGGTCGGTGGCGGGTGCCTGTAGGTCCCAGTACTGGGAGTGTCTGAGCAGGAGAATGGCAGGAGATGGGACCCAGCGAGGCGGGAGAGCTGCAGTGAGCTGAAATCGCGCCACTGGCCACTCCAGCCTGGGGCGGGACAGAGTAGGATCCGGTCTCAAAAAAAAAAAAAAGAAAAAGTTACTTCAATTCTCAGCTTGTTCACTCGTTTAATTAATATTCTTCTATTAAAGGCTATTATAATTATTCCCTGCCTTCAAAATTTTATACAAAAACTTCTCTCTACCACTCTTACAAAGTTAACTCCTAACTCTCCTCCACCCTATTCAAAAAATTACTTCTCTTAAAGCAATTAAATCAAAACAGACAAATTTTTAAAAAATTGTAAGAGGGAGAATTGTAAAAAGTAAAATAGTGGTTCCTCTTCAAAGCCTTTCCTCCCCATCTAATTAAAAATAAACAATAACTTCTCTTAGAAGCAAAATTTAAAGACCTGTGCCAGCATTCTTAAGTATCTGCTAGCCATAATTTTAAAAATCAATATACTTTATATTCTTAGCTCCCACAATTTAGCCTAAATATTTGCCCTGGCATACTTATACTAGTCCAAGAAAGCATTAAGTCATAGCCTGTTCCTCTTCCTTATTTAAAAGCATTTTTACCTTTCTCAACATTCCACACGTTACTTCCTCCTTCCTTTGTCTCCTCTCCTCTGCTTTTGCCTCTTTAAAAAAATTCTAAGTTACTAACCAATGAAAACAAATACAAAATGTAAAATCCCGTTCCAGCCAATAAAAACCAGACATAGCAATAAGGTGGATGCATCAGGTTATAAATAACCCTATCTCCTTTATTCAATATACTCTCATAACAAAACTGCTAGCAAGTATACCCTTTTTATAAAAAATATAAAAATGGCCTTACTAAAACAATTAAATTTATATTCAAGTGCTATTTCTTTACAACACCAGAAAACAAACACTTCAAACAGGTTGCAGTGAGCTGAGATAATGCCACTGCACTCCAGGCCGGGTAACAAAGTGAGACTCTGTCTCAAAAACACAAGGTAAATTGAATCACAAGAAGAAGAAAAAACATGGGTAGTATGTAACCAGAATTCCCCAGGTGATGGTAATGCATTCCCTAGGATTCACAACCTGCATTCTGGAAGTCCCAGGTGACTGGGAACTTTGCCCATGAACCCATGAAGCTCTTTCCCTGGGCCATGCCAGGGGCCACACTTGCCGGCCCTGGCCCCACCTGCTGCCATCCTCACAGACTCCCTCCGCTAATTCTGAGCATTCCTCGGACACTCAGGAACGAGTCTGAGAGCCACCTCTGGGGAGTCTTGGCTGGCGCGGCCATCTCAGCTGGCAGGCACTGCAGGTGCAGCCGAGGCTCCATAACGCTGTGAGCTCTGGCTGTCCTCTCAATGTGCACCTCCCTTTTGGGTGGCCCTGCTATGGGAGGACATCAAGGCTGCCACCTTCTGCCTGAACGTCTTAGGGTTTGAGTGGAAGCATTCTTGAGCCTGCTGTTTCCCTGATCCTCAGACATGAGCCGGGGGCATGGTCAGGGAGGGTCTGGGCCACCTGGGCTGCACATTCACGTCGCATCCCCTCCAGCTCTGGATTGAAATCCAGACAGCCTTCTCACTGTTCTCTTCCATTGGGGTGTCTTCTAGAAGGCTCCTCAGGTCTTGGTGGTAATGACCCCACCAGCCCATCAGATGTGCTCAGGGAATCCCTGGGTCTCTGAGGGAAATAAACAGGAGAGGAACCCCTCCATCCCTCCAGCCCCCACTGCTTCCTTGTGAAACACCCCCAGAGAGCCAACAGTCCTGCTGCCACAGGCTCTGGTGGGCTGCCTCCCCCTGCGGAGAGACTCGTCTTCACAGCAGCCAGCGCCCTTCACCTGCGGGCTCTTTCCAACTCGTCTTCCGAGACCGCTCCCACGGTGGGGTAGGGGAGCTGGGACCTGTGCATTTGCCATCGGCGGATGGCATGAGAAGTGGCCGAGGATGGCGCAGCTGCCGGGGTCCATGAAGATAATATCCAGAGTGGGGAGGGCTCAGCCCCTGCATGAAGCAGTCCCCACTTTCTCCATCCTCCATGCTGTTTCAGTCAGTGACCGGCTGGCTCTGTTTTGTTTCACAGTGTGGACAACTCCGAGGACCCCGTGTATGAGAGCCTGGAAGAGTTCCACGTTTTTGTCCTAGCCCATATATTAAGAAGACCCATCGTTGTTGTGGCAGATACCATGTTAAGAGACTCAGGTGGAGAAGGTAAGTTCCTCAAGGGATGTGCTGTATTCCTGACACAGAAAGCATAGCATCCCAGCTAGAAAGCAGATAGCACAGAGCAAGGTCGAGCTCCCAGAGGCCACAGAGCTCCCATCACTCTGTGCAAAGATCTACTCCGCATGTTTCTTTCTCCTCCCTGATGGCGGCAGGGATTGCTCTTCACCAGCTGCCCTGCCTGTCAACAGCAGGTGGCCAGGAGAAATCTGGTCGTGTGGGGACCAGGACTAAGCCCAGAGGGCCTCCTATCTCCTGTTGTGTGCCTAGGGCACAGCAGACAGTCCACGCCCCTCCAGCAGCCCTGGGCCATGTCCTGGAGGCATTCAGTCACTCAGGTGCCTTCCCGCCCCTCCACAGGCCACCTGTGTGTTAAAGACTAAAAAGAAAGGAAGACAGAATGCATAGCAAGGCTATGATAGAATCAGAACTGGCAGAGAAAGAGGCAGGGGCAGTTTATGGCCTGCCCACCGAAAGCCACACTGTGCATAGCCGCTTCTCGAAGGTTCCTCCATTCAGCCCTTGCCACAGCCTCCCAGGGTGGACACCACCCTCCCCACTTTACAGAGGTGAAACTGAAGCCCAGAGAGGCTAGGCAATGTCCCCAGGGGGATCAGCCCAGGGCAGGGAGTGCTCCAAAGCCTGTCCTCCCTCCAGTGTGCAGCTGACCAGAGCATCCCTCCAGCCCAGTTTGAATTTACGCCTGCACCTTACAAAAGTCACAGGTCTTCCAGGGAGTTCCACACACCAGGATGTGGCTCTTCGTGCTAAACAGCTGCCATAAAAAATCTGATGTGGCCACAATGGTTATGTAGCCAGGGAACTGGGAGGACACAGGTCCTGCCTGGCCCACCCCCTTCCCTGTGTGGCTCAGGGACACGGGCCTGCTGAGGCCTGCAGCTCTCTGTGCAGCATCAGGACTCGCATCGGGGCCCTGCTGTGCAAGCCCAGGACTGAGCTCCCAGCACCATCAGATATCTGAGTTGCGGGGCGAGGGAAGGTCCACCCTTCCTACCATTCTACTCACAGCCCTCTTGCCGGTACCCCCACCCTGCCGCCTCTCAGTGGGACTCCCCTGTGAGCAGAAGCACAATGATCAATTTAGACAAAGCGAGGATGGGGGAGGAACTCTAAGAGTTCATCAAAGACGTCCCTGAAATTACCGTCCCTGAATTCTGCCCAAGGAGTGCAGCAATACGCTGACTCTGGGGCCAAAAGGCAAGACGTTTCATGAGCTAAAAGCAGATGCTGCTTTAGGACAGATATTTCCGAAGTTATTCTATTTTGGTGAGGGTGTTAGGCTTTTCTGCCCTCTTTTTTACAAGTAAGAAAATGAGATTGTGTCCCTGTCACTGAAGGACTCGACCCCTTTGGTTCTCAGTTCCCATCTGACTTACATCTTGGTCCTGGAGCTCTCTGGCTGGTTCCTTCAGATTCAACAGAAGAGGTTCTCAAAATATAGAACAAATATACACCTTCGAGAAGCGTAGATATTGCGTTGTATACAAATGCTTTACCAAACACTAGGAGAGGAAGAAGTACATCCAGAAAAATGTGGGCTTCCAGGCTGCGACTGCTCTGACCAATCTCGGGTGACAGTGTCATCCCAGCCCTGGGGCTCCTGAACACCTGTGCAGGTCTCAGGGCCGCAGGAGTCCTGGGGCAGACAGATGACTCTGGAAACTCTCAGCCCCATCCCTCAGCACCGCCTCCATCCACCCCTCCTGTCCCTCCGCTTCTCCACGGAGCCCCCTGGGATAGTGAGGGACAGGGACACAGGGGCCTCCCCTCCCAGCTCAGGCTGCTGCTCCTCACACCCTCACCCTGGTTTGTGTCCACAGCGTTCGCACCCATCCCATTCGGAGGGATCTACCTGCCCTTGGAGGTCCCTCCCAACAGATGCCACTGCTCGCCTCTGGTTCTGGCCTATGATCAAGCACATTTCTCTGCTCTCGTGTCCATGGAACAGAGAGACCAGCAGAGAGAACAAGGTATGCCTGTCTCCCCAGAGAGTGCACGCGGGGGCCTGGGGTGGGGCAGAGCCATCAGAAGGGACCCCGTTGCACAGGGAGGGGGATTGTGGAGACCTCCCCTAGAAGCACACCTGTGCACACTCAGCAGTGACAGGTTTTGCATAACACTACCTTATGCATGTGTGAACGTTTTCATTGAAAATAACAATGTGAAAGACAACATTCTCTTTAAAATACTGAACAAAGGCAACCTACCCTTAAATAGCTTTTACTGTTCTCCCTTTCACTTGTATACATATTTTATAGGAATGTAATTAGTCTTAGAGGTAAATTAAAGGGAAAAAAGCTTCAAGTGCAAGTATTAATGAACTATGGCCCACCACTCATTTTTATAAATAAAGTTTTATTGGAACAGAGCCACTTTCATTCATGGATGCATCCTCTGGGGCCGTTTTTGCACAGAGAGAGGAGCAGCCACTGACACTGAGGCCTGCAGCGCCTAAAATATTTACTTGCTAACTAGCTCCTTATGAGAAGAGTTTGCTCACCCCTGCTCCAGGGTAAGCTTTTAACTCAAAAGGTCAACATTTCCTTTCAAAGCATTGCAGCTGAGTTTCCTCTAAGCAGCCATTTCAGTGCTGCCGATGTTGGGCCGGCCCCACAGGCTGTGCACTGCACAATTCTAGGGCACCAGTCAATGTCTTTGCTCGGGAAATAGGGGGATTTTGTTTGGAACCATTGCCGTTTTCTCATGTTAGCTATGGATGGATGTGTGACCAGCCGAGTGGAGAGGAAACTCCTTCCTGTTGTCACTCTTGTTTGTGGTATAGGCAGAGACTCACTCCCCCACGAGACAGACGGACAGGCAAGACCAGCTGTTTCAGAGTCCCTGCCACTGGGTATGGTTCCAGGGAACGGGAAGTGATCTGGCCAGGCCCACCAGGGGCAGGAAGCTCGGGGTGTCTGCTTCTGACCTTTTCCACTGAGTGTGCAGCTCAGGAAGTAAATGCAGCAAGAAGATTGCCCCGCTAGGACTCCCAAATGCTACTCCTTCCTTTAGACAGCTGGCAAGGAAAGGACGCAGACAAATGAACAGAACCCAGCCGCCCCCAGCCCTCCGCCAGAGGTGGCACCAGCGTGTCACTTCCTGGCCTGGCGGCTGAGTTAGGAATGAGGCTGGGGCTGTGGAGCAGAAGCTGAAGGTGAGAAACGCACAGGGCATTCAAGACCCCTTCCCGAGAACAGATACAGATACAGATACAGATACAGATACAGATACAGAGACAGATACAGATATAGCTACAGCTACAGATACAGATACAGATACAGATACAGATACAGAGACAGAGACAGAGACAGAGACAGAGACAGATACAGATACAGATACAGAGCTCCCAGGAGCCGACACATGCAGCACAGCGGCAGAACCCAAGTTGCAGAAGAGAGAGGACGGGAGGCTGCAGCCAGCCATGACAGGAATGTCACATTACGGTTCTTTATTATTTGCAGATGTGGCACTGGCCACAGAAGGACAGATTTGATCAGTAAGGCCTAGGAGGTCTTTCCATTGTCTCCCCGCTTTCAGTCCAGAATGCCTGCACCGCCTTCCTGGGGGTTTAGCTCTTTGTAGGGCTGACCCAGCCTCTTGGGAGACCAGAAGGGCCTTTTCAGGACCTGGGATCCAGGCCAGGGGCTGGGTCCTCTGTCCAGTCCCCAGGGAGACTCTGTGGTCACAGGAAGATGATGGTCCCAAGGCCAGCATTTCCCAGTGCCAAGCACAGGGTCCAGATACCCGGCCCCCTCCTGGCAAAAGGCACCGAGTACTCTTCCAGGCCTCCAGATCCTGCTTCTTGGTGTTTTCAAGGCACATATGAAAGCATCCTTCCTTCAAAGCATGCCCGTGGAGGCCGCTGTGGCTCGGTGCCTTTCGGGAGAGCCTTGCAGAGTTGTGGGTGGTTTCACTTCTGATGACCTGGTTTCTAAACACTGGGATCTGGTCCCAATGCACCCCTCAGAGCCACTGTGGTGTGGGCCTATGGCTCCCTCACAGTCGAAGCAGCCCACTGGGGTCCTCCTGGGGTGGTGCGGGTCCCCGCGTCCAAGACCATCCTGTGGCTGGGCTGCACATTCACCCATAAGGTCCCACGACCCCCTGCAGGGCAGGTGCCGTGGCCACGCTCTTTGTCATGCACCCATGTGCCCCCTTAGACCTTCACCTCTGCAGCCCTCCCTCTGTGCCTCGAAGGACACTGGGGGGATGGGACAGAGTCGCAGCTGTGCTCTCAGGTCACAAGACTCCTCAGCAGAGAGGGACGTGGAAATCACAGTGAGGCTGCAGCTTCCAGGATGGGACCCTGCATCCTCTGAGTGCAAAACAGGAGCAGCCACACCACAGTAGCAGGCTCAGGCCTGCTGGGGCGAGCTGGCCAGACCGCCAAGTCACAGGGCCTGGTGGGAGGCAGGAGATGGGAGACTCCAGAACACTGAGCCCCAGGACACCACCGGCCCCACTGTGAAGCACAGGTGTCACCCTGTGCCATGGTGCCCTGCCCGTCCTGTAGACAGCACCCTGTGACAGAGGCTAATAGATACGGTAATCACAGGCCCCAGGAAGAGCAGACACCATGTCCTTGTGCCTGAGGAACGATGCTTTGAGAGCCTGGAAATGAGATGAAAAATGTATTTCAGGCTGAGACAAGGCTCCCTTCTTCCCATCACCCCTTTCCTCCTCCACTGTTTACATGGCCCGTCATGTTTCATCCACATGTGTCCAGCTCCTGGAGGCTTAAATATCCATGAGGCATTCTTTGAACTTCTCATCTCGAGTGCCTCTCCCTCTAAGGGAAGCCCCCTCTTATAGGTGCTACTGCCATGGCCCAGCTACTGCTGATGCCGCCACTGGCCGTCTTCAAGGTCAGGAATCCTCCCCTGTTTCCCAGGCTAGGCAAGGACTTGGGGAGAGGGAAGGGCTTGAGGTGGAAGGTCAGGAGCTGGGGGGACTGGTCAGTATGGGCAACCTGAGTGGCTCAGGCTTTGCAAATCTACCTTAAGACTTCTTAGATCAAATGTATGCATTCTTGGTAGGTTCCACACCTGATGGCCACCTGCTTTCTCCAGGGGAGGACATTAGTCCTTTGCTCCCTGACACCCTGAGCCCTGGGCCTTCAGCTCTTTGCAGGAAGCAGCCTCCTTGCAGCCACATCTTAAAATGGCCTCCAGGGGAGCTCTGTGAAACCCAGATCTGGGCATTCTGTCAGCACCCAGGCCAGGACAGTTCATACTGGCCACTGAGCAAATGTGTACATTATGAAAAATCAAATCAATTAACAGGAGAAACAGAGGTGCCGCATAGTTCCTGGAAACATAGAACCTAGGAAAGAACTTTGGAAATCATCCAGTGCAATAATCCCAACTCCCCCTCCTTTTATAGCAAAGGTTGTCCAGTGTACTCTTCATTATCCTGAAATGAAATTCATGGATAATGTTACCTATGTTGGAATAAAGTCCATTTCATAACCCCCACATCGGGAGAAATCAAAGGAAACCAATGTAATCAAATAGTCTGCATTTCTGTAAATGCTCTCACACAGCCATACCGCAAGACTCAACAACGCAATCAGATCCTGGCACCCATATGTGGGGTGCCCAGTTACACAGGCAGGGGACATAGGTGTGCTGAGCATACCTTCAAATACCCCAGGAGGCTCTGTCGTCCAAAATGACCGCTAACTCTTGGTAAAGTCCCAAACAAGCCAAGCGCAGCGTTGCCCGTCTCCACAGCTCCTCTTCCCTTTGCGTAGATACAGAGGCATGCAGCGCAGACCCTCGTGTACATGTTAGCTCTCGGCCTGGCCAGCAGGTTGCACTGGGAAGGGCTGGGTGCATACGGGTGCTGCCTAGGTCTGCACCCCACCTGCAGGCTCATATGTTTGCAGTTGCTTCCTGTGCTCAAGTGCCGCTCTAAGGTCCTTTCCAGGAATCACGATTTAACCCTTCCCATTTCCTATTCCCCACTTTACAGAGGGGGAAGTTGAGAAAGGAGGAACCATCCCCAGGGAATGGTTGCAGCCAGTGAAGGATTGGGAGGGTGGATGGCGAGGCTTCCACAAAGACTTGGCCCAAGAGAGTGGCATTCAGAGAGCATGCATCTCCCAGAGAAGAGGCTCAGGAAGTGGTACCCCAAGTCAAAGCCTGCTTGGGATGAGATAGCATCTCAGACCTGGTGACTCAGGAACCTTCAGGGTCGAAGAGGGTAGGGAGGGGGTTCTTTGTTTCATGGAAGGTGTCAGTGCCATCTGTGGCTATTCTTTTCTTTAAAATTTATTGGCCAGGCGTGGTGACTCATGCCTGTAATCTCAGCACTTTGGGAGGCGAGGTGGGTGGATTGCCTGAGCTCAGGAGTTCAAGACCAGCCCGGGCAACACAGTGAAACCCCATCTCTACTAAGATATAAAAGATTATCTGGGTGTGGCAGCATGCGCCTGTAATCTCACCTACTCGGGAGGCTGCAACAGGAGAATCTCTTGAACCCGGGAGGTGGAGGTTGCAGTAAGCCAAGATTGCACCATTGCACTCCAACCTGGGTGACAGAGACTTCGTCCCCCTAAAAAAAATTAATATCTAAGTCCATTGTTTAAATAGTTTTTCCCTCATATATACAAACAGCCTGTGAGCCTCTGAGGCATATCCAGGGGCCACACAGAGGTCAGGGAGCCCTCAGCGTGTCCTCAGTGCCTTCCCCCAGGGGTCTCGCTTAAGGAACCCAGAGAGCAGCACGCAGGCAGCCCTGAGGGAGTCCACTGGTTACAGATGGAGGGGGCGATGCTGGTGTGAACAGAGAGCTCCGAAACGAGGCTTACAGATGGTCACACCAAGGTTGGCCACTCCTTTATTGGGAGCAGAGACTCAACACATTCAAAATGTGATACTTAAAAAGAAAAAAAATGTTTTTCCAAAGAGCAGCTTACCAATTTGTCTCTTGCCACTTAGAAACAACACAGCAAGTTTATAAGTGCCTG